GGTGCGGAGGAAGGAGGGACGAGCGGGCAGGTGTTTTGCGAGCGTAAGAAGATGAGCAGGAGCTCGGGAAGACTAGCGGGACAGGCGAGAATCTTCGGCGCAGTGAAGGATGCTTCGTCTCTTCCTGTTGAGAGGGATCGAGCAGAGAGATCTCGAGAGAGGGAGAAGGCCAGCGGGAGAGAGGAGCTTGGGGGAGGCGAATCAAGCCGACTGCGAGTAGGGAGGCCGAAGGAGCAGGCGTTCGGGAAAGGCAGAGGAGGAAGACGGGATCGAGCAGCTTCGGCGTGGGGAAGAGGCGAGCGGGCGAGCTTCGTGCTTGCAGCGGAAATGCAATAGGAATGGGAAAGCTGAGCGAGAGCCAGCGGGGAAGAAGAGCTCGGGCCAAGCCAATTAAGTCCAATCGCCGAGGAAGAAGACGCTCCTTCCTTTTAGAATTGAAGCGGGAGCCGTTCCTCTGGAACGATTGGGCGGGGAAATAAAATCATTTCCAAATGCAGGGGAAGGAAATAAATGGAAATAATTAACTCCTGAATTAATCTTAATTAAGACAAAAATTAAATAATCCATTTGAATTTTGAAATTTGAATTTCAAATTTAGGTGAGCTGGTGCCTAGCCCGCGTTCAGCCCGAGTCCAGCCTGAATCAAACTCGAGTCGGACCTGAGTTAAGCCCGGGCCCGCACACCGCTAAAAAAAAGGTGCATCGATATCCGTGCAGTTCGCGCGAGTGTGGAACCACAGCAATATGGGTGTCCTTTCTAGCTAAAGTAGACGTTCTGAACGCGTCGGCGCGGTCCGTTTCGTCATCCGAGGTCGTTCGAGCGAGTTTGCCGGCGGACGAGTCAAATCAAGTCAAAGTCGTGTGTGGTGCAGTGAGTGCGTGAATTGCGGCGTTTGCGAGTAATCGAGTCACAAAAGGTTCACATAAGGCCGTTTATACTATAGGAACTCAATTTCGGGCCCTCTACATGTTGGTCCTTAGCCCTTGCAACTAAAAGTTGAGTGCTTGGAACCACTCATGCGAGTTCTTCACAAAAATGAGTCAAGAAGTGGCTTGAAGTTCTACGGGAGGTGGGCTCCATTACTAGTCCGCTAGGATGGTCAACCAGGAACTCCTAAGGCTAGATTATGGGTTCTGGGAGTAGGAGACTAAGACCTCACAAAAATGAGGTCAACAACATCACAATCCATTCGACAATCAGAGATATGATGCTCCAGCTGGGGGAGTTTTTAAGGGACCCTATGGCTAAGATGCGGGAAAATTTGATGGGGGAGCTCCAGGAGGTACGAAGATCCCATAAAGAAGAGATGAGTGACATACATGCTAGCTTTGAGAAAATTCGTGAAGACATCTCGCTATGTAAGTGGGCACCAACAACACCAACCAATCAACATACTTTCGAAGCCAAGAGGATTGAAGTTCAAAAATATTTTGGAGCGATGTGGATTACGGGTGAAGATGCAAAATACAATTTGCAGCTCTTTATCTTTCAGATATTACTATGTTATGGTGGAGAAGAAGACGATGAGATATAGAGAAAGCTATGTGCATCATATCTACCTTTGACGACTTTAAGGAGCTAAAGAAACAATTCTACCACGCGAACGCTGAGGATGAGACCAAAGCCCGATTGCGAAGGCTCAAGCAAGAGGGATCGATTTGGGAATGCATTAGGGAGTTTACAAGTTTTGTTCTTGAAATTCCCGACATGTCAGACAAGGATGCTCTTTTCAATTTCATAGATGAATTTCAACTGTGGGCAAAAGCTGAGCTTAGGAAGCGCAAAGTGCAAAATTTTGCCACTGCCATCGCGATCGCCGAACGCCTAGTTGATCACTCAAGAGAGTGCACAAAACCAAATGATAAGAAGAGTACTTATGTCAAAGAGGGGGAGGACAACATTCAACATAAGGAAGACCCGCCACAAATCAACTTCATCCAAAATGAAAAACAAATGAAAGCCTAAAAATGACTAAACTAAACTACACAACCGAAGCTTTCTTTGTGATGGACCACATTGGGCAAGGGATTGTCCTCAGATGAAGTCTCTAAACTCTCTCACTGCAAACCATCAAAAGAAAGAAGGTGGCGACACAACAACACTAGTAGGGTCTATACGACTACTGAATGGGATGCAAACAACAAAACCCAAAACGAAGGGGTTACTCTTTGTGGAGATTATAATAGGTGAGAGGACTATTATAGCAATAGTGGACACATGTGCTTCTCTTAACTTCTTCGTCGAGGAAGCAAAGCGACTGGGTTTGCAGATGACAAATGGAGGAGGCTCCATGAAGGTGGGCAATTCAATAAAAAAACCAATCCATAGAATAGCCAGAGGAGTAAAGACCAGTATTGGTGCGTAGTCAGGTACCTTGGACTCTTCTGTTATTCCCATGGATGATTTTAAAGTTGTTTTAGGAATGAACTTCTTGGATCAAGCAAGAGCGTTCACAATGCCTTTTGCCAATAGCATATGTATCATGGAAATGAATCAAGTTTGCTTAGTACCATCCAATTCAAAGAGGGCATTCCAAAAGGCAAGGGGAGTTACTTGGCTGTTATTTTGGACTCCGATGAAGAAGTAAAACCCGAAGAAGACATGCCAAGAGAAGTGATGGAGGTTCTTAACGAACTACCACTAGGAAGGGAGAAAAATCATTTGATTAGGTTAGAGCCAAGGACTAAGCCGCCAGCCATGAAGTGTCACTGCATGACACTCCTCACCCATACTACTAAGAAAAAACCCAAGTTTGTGAGCAAACAAAGGAAGCTGGTCCGAGTGTCACGGCGAAGCCACAATGAGGGCATTGCGAACTTAAGTGGGGGAGAGTGTCATGCTTCGCCATCTTCTAGAAATTGGCAAGGCAACCAAAGGGACGAAAGGTTCTAGAGAAGACCAGAATGATGAGATAAATATTTATAAATCTAGAAGATACCACCTCATTCTAGAGAATAGTAGAATGAAAAACTCCGAGGATAACTCAAGAATAACCTAGAAGGATTTAGGAGTCATATATGCAAATAAGAGAATAGTGTAGAATTATTTAAAAATTAGGCTATTATAGAATATTCCCTTGGACTTGGAGGGGACTATAAATAGGAGTCCCTTCCCTTATTTGTAACTATCCAAGCATCCATCTAAGGTTCCAAACATTCAAGGTTTGTAATCTTTTTTCTTAGTGAAGTGTTCCTTTCTCTAATACTTCTCCATACTCTTCTTCCTAGAGTGTTTTGTGCTTACAATTCCAAGTGCTGTGAGGGATAGGTTGATTTAGTGTCAAGGAAGAGCACTAAAGCCACACAAATGCTGAAGATAAGTTAGTCCACTATACGCTGGTAACTTTGGTTATAAAATTTTTATCACAACTCATATACAACTTTAGATCTTTGCATCCCCACCCTTCATTTTTTTTAAGCATTAAATTATAGACTTATCTTAACTTTGCAACTTTTGTGCTTAGTTTTGCTGCTTCAAATCATTCTGAGTATATTTCCCTATTTTATCTTAAAAAAATTGTCACTCCTTATCCTCCCTTTAATGCAACCATTTATCATTTTATATTCATATTTTGCCACACATACATTTCGATGTTCTTTTATTTGTCTTACTCGATTATCAGTGCCTGTTCTTTCCACTCGAATGTCTAATTCCTTTACCATAGCTATTTTACTTGTAGTTTTGTAAAACTTCCCTATACTTCTCCAGATATTCTATTTTCATATGATTTTTTTAATCTACTTCTCGAATTTTAATCATATTTATTTAATTTTGAAGTTTGTTTAGATAATTAAACTTATAACATCTAGATTTTACATAATATCCCAGCATCATTGTTTACTTAAAATTACCATATTTTTGATACGTTTTAGCTGCTCCACAGTTGGATTCAGCTATTAGAAGCAGGCCATTCTCAAAAAACCTATACCAAAAGATCTTGAATATTTTTTATAAGCATATCTATAATTGATATGAAAATATTTGAAAGTAGTGTTAGTCCTTAATATAACCCTCACTATGAAGAATATTTGTCGATTACTCTCTACAACCACTTTTAATGCTACTATGTAGCCAATGATTAATAAAATTTAATAGCATTAATATTCTAAGATGTAAAATTTTTTTCCTATGTGCTAAAAGAATTAATTATCATGGTATTTGATAGTGTATTTTCTTGATCAACAAAAATTATATAAATATTTATTTATTTTCATGATTAATTTTTTTAGTACAAAGTTTATAGTAGATCTAAATCATAAATCATTGATTCTTCCACGATGACTTGATTTTCTAATGCTTTATTTCACCATCATCTCCCTTAGAATATTGGACGTATCCTTATAAGCCTTGCTCACTCCAATCATTTCGCATTCTCATATTATATGTATTTTATATAAAGGATTTGCTAACCATGCCATTCTAACAACTCCTATAATTCTTCAAATATCAATAAGCATTTTGCATGAACCAAAAGATTAACTTATTTTGAAGTTAATTTATGTTAAAACTATTGCAGGATTGAAATATCTTAAAGGTGTCTTTTGCCACTTAATTGATGCAACTGTCCGTAATTAGAAGGATTGCAAGTTTAAGATTATGAATTAATTTAAGATGCAGAGATATTCAACTCTAATTAATTGTGTATCTTCTTAGTATGTGGTTATCTTTGTATGTTAGTTCATTTTCTACCTCTTACTGTTGTATATATTGATTTGATTTTGCTTAAATAATGTTTCATTGTCTTTAGGATTGAACACTATCAAACATTTTGTTCCATTTGTTTTCCCCTTTTCGTGTTGTTTTATTACTGGGATATTGACATGCATAGAAACTTTGCTATTTACAAAATTAGCACCGAAGACATTTTTTTTGAACCATCAAATTGCGTCTGTCATGATCAATTCGTCGGGAATTTGATGAATTTGAAAAATATGGGTTGCGGTTTTATTTTGAATTTTATTATTTGTGTGAGAATTTAAAAAACGGATGAAGAAGGGTGCTAGTTTGTAAATAGCAAAGTTTTATGTGCTATGTATGTAATTTCCCCTTTATTATTTTATGCTAGCTTTATGAGATCCGTGCATGTCCCTTTTCCCACTTGCCAACTTTTTGGGTCTTCTAGGTCATTTAGGATGTGAAAATGGTTTTGACTTTCTTTTTTTAATTGAAAATACATGTTGATATATTATTATAAGAGTCAGATTTTTTATATTTTATTATAGGATGTGAAAATGGCCCTTACTTCTTGATTCTTTTCCTCCGCTTATCGATGGATGTGTTGGATTTGATTTTGCTCAAAGGACTTTTTATTGACTCAAGGATTGAACACAATCAAACCTTTTTGTTCTGTTTTCTATTTTCTGATTTATTTATATTTCATTCGATGTAGATAGGTCCCTGTTCGCAATCTTTTAACTTTTGTGTCTTCTAATTCATGTCGGATCTCAAAATGCCTTTTATTTTCCTTGTTGAATGAAGGTATATGTTGACTTCGGCGTATCATATGACAGGATTCCTCACCCAGATGCTGACTTGGAGGAATCCATAAATGAGGTATTGAATTTTTTTATTCCATTACTTTCAATCCTAGTTATGCATTGATATAATTTAGGGGCATTTACATACACAATCATTCTGTATCTACATATTTAACACCTAAACATTCACATTTACATGCATACCATTCAAATCTTTAAAATCACATAAAAAATATAACCATCATTACTTTTTCAAAAGTGAAATACACCTTTTCATGCATAGGTGTTATAAATGTGAATATCAGACTCTGGATGTTAGATATGTAAATACATAAGAATTTTGTGGTATGTATGTAAATTTCCCTATAATTTATAGATAACGGTGGTCTTAGCAGAACAAAATTTTCCTTTGAACCAAAGATGAGACTCTATGCTTTATAAGAAGTTGAGTCAATCCATGTCCGGTGTTACCGTTCTTGCCGTAGCATAGTTTTGTTAATATTGCGGAAAAAAGTTCATCGACTGCTCTTCTTCTTAAAAGTTACGTGTTATTATACAAATTTCTTGAGCCAATAAGTCATCCTGCTTTGTTGTGCTAGCATCTTCTGATTAATGATGCTGAGATTGGACATAGTGTAAGCATAAACTGTTCAGAATTCTCAAGCATTTCACATATTGATAAATTAAGTGCTGCTTTGAACCTTTCTGTGTTGTTTTACTTACCAACCTGGATTTCCTATTTTATAGATATGGACCTGTCAAGTTGAAAAGAAGCCATCACTATATAATGGCAAGAAATTCAGAGTATGTCATAACTCATTATTCCTCAGTTTAATTTCTTCTTGCTGGTGTCATATTGATGATTTTGTGTTAGAACTCAGCAATTTGTAGAGCAAAATTTATCACAAGTAAATTAGGGGCCAAATGATATTGCCCTTTTTCTCTGAAAATGTCATGAGTAAATGTTCTCACCCAAATCAAAATGTGAAAGAATGAGACTTATCATGATTTTTATTACTTTATAACTTTAAACAAATTAAAGTTCCTTCCATGATGGTGAAAAGTTCTCAAACCCATGGAATTAATAAAGCAATTTAACATTTTGTTACTGATGGTGTGATTACATCATTTTAATCATTGTTTGTGATGTTGTAGATGGTTTTTTACCCATACCCACACAAACACACATCTTGTACTTTTCTTGAGTATTGATTTTTACCAAGAATTTCTTTGACCATCGTTGGTTATATTGTTGTTTTTTTTCCTCGAGGAATGTAGTATATTTAGGCAAGGTACCACTTTCTTCTAAAGACTAGTTTTAAGTCAGATTTTCAAGGGGCAGGTTTTCTCAATTCATGCTTCATAATCTTATCATGGCCAAACATGACTTGGCCTCACAATCTTCTTCCTCGTAAGTCACCTCTAGATTCAAGCCTACATTTTCATTGCCCATCATCCCTGATAACTCATCCGATCTAATCTCTAATTATAAACCACATGACTAGAATTTTTTCCAATGGTCACAGTCCGTCTTCATGTACGTCTACGAGAGAGGTAATTAGACATCTTACATGTGAAATTTTGGCTCTAGAAATCACAAATTCTAAATATTGGGTTTGAAAAATTGACGACTACTTGGTTATATAATGATTAATAAATTCCATGACCACAAAGATTGGAGAAAACTTCCGGCTTTATAGGATACCAACGAGATATGGGAGATTGCACATGAGACCTAATGTAGCTTTGAAAATTCCTCATAGTCATTTGAGATTGAAACCAAACTACATGTTCTATAAGAAGGAGAATTGAACATTACTCAATATGTCAACACTCTCACACGCTGGTAGCTGCAATTGGATTTGCATGAAATTTATTTATGGAAATGTCTTGATGGCTTTGTCTTGTATAAGAAAATTATTGAGCAAAAGAGGACCATCAAGTTCCTTCTTGGCCTCAAGAAAGATGTAGATGAAATCAGGGTAAGAATCATGAGAATTAAACCCCTTCCTACCCCACTTCCTACCATCTAGGAGACATTTGCAGAAATAACCTTTGAAGATGAAGGTTTTGGACATCTGGAACATTGAATGGTTTTGAAGATTACATCTTTCCTCCAGCATAGCAAATGCCTTTGACATCCAAGACTATGTCTGCAAGGATATTGCATTTAATCTCTATGTATATACCATTATTAATACCTATATTGGAAAGTGCCAATTTGCATCAGGAAAGAATTTATTTCCTTTTTTCGGTATATTTTTCACTAATCATGTTTCCATTACTAGATTGTTCTTCTATTTTTTCTTATTTTGGAGGAATTTTAATTTTGTTTCATTTCCTCATTATATATATATGTGTGTGTGTGTGTGTGTGACAATGTGTAATGCCTGGAATAAGAAGAAATAAATTATTTTTGTGAATTTCTACATGGTATTAGAGTTGAGAAATCTATCATTCGCGTTTGAGGACACTATCTCCTTCATCTTCCTCGTTTGCCGAATGCTTCAAGTTCAAAGAAGGACCGAAGCATCCTCCACGTCTCCAACGAAGCTTCCTCATCATCGCCAACCATGATGAATCCGTAGGATTTCCTTGAGTCTATCTTTGACGCACAAAGTCGTCTCCTCTCGTACGCACGAGAGCTAGGGTCATCATGTCATCTCCTCGCGTACGTGCGAGATCGCAATGCTCCGTCGTTCAATCCTTTCGCTTGACCAGAACATTCCCATCGTTCATCTCTTCTGCTTGATCAGATTACAATCTTCCGTCGAGCAGTTCCAATAGAACAAATAACATAACCATTCAAATCGAACGTTGTGTCCGAACGCTCCATCCAAACGTCCCCTTCAATTTCTTTCATTCTTTTCCTGCAATCTCTCGTGAGCATTTTCTCTTCTTTCTTCTTGGATCTAAGAAGTATCGATTGAAATAGAGGATTTTCTTCCTCCTTGGTTTGCCAAAGCGGCGAATGATTCAATTTGTCCTAGCCTCCATCTCGCGTGTCGTCGACCCGAAAACCGATCGTCTGGTGCAGGATGCATCCAAATCTAATGCTGTGAACCTTCCTCTAGTTCCTTCTCGCTCATCCAACTGAGCAGTCGAACTAAGGGAACTTCTCTCGCGGCCTTTCAAGGAGCATATATTCTCGATTCAGGTTTCACAATCTTATCAGGGTCAAATAAGGCCTGGTCTCACAATCTTCTTCCTCAGAAGTCAACCCTAGATTTGAGCCTACATCTTCAGCACCTATCGTACTTGATAACTCATCCCACCTAGTCGCTAAGCATGAACTACATGACCAAAATTTTCTTCAATAGTCATAGTTCGTCTTCATGTATGTCCATGGGAGAGGGAAGATGGACATCTTATAGGGGTAATTTTGGCTCCAGTAATCACAGATTCTTGATATCGGGCTTGTAAAATTGACCACCACTTGGTTATGTCATGGTTAATAAATTCCATTGCCATGGAGATTGGAAAATACTTTATGCTCTATAGGCCAACCAATGAGTTATGGGAGGTTGCAGGTGAGACCCACAGTCAAACCCTGGGTTCAGAAGGAGATACACCCCATCAACGGTGGGCGTGATGAAAGGATTTAAACATGTTTTGTCTTCTCAAAAGAAGACATGTATACAAGTAATAACAAAAAGAAATAAGGAAGAATAAATTTTATTCCATAGTCCAACTGATATAATTTCCATAGTCCAAGAAAGAAAAACAAAACTAATTGAAGCAAAACTAAAATGATAGGAGGAAACAACAACCCTAAATCCAAAAGAGGAAGTATCATAACAAATGCAAAATTGAAAATATCCATAAGAAAGTCTAAAACTAAAAAGTCTGCTCCAGTTGAGATAATCCTGCAAGTCGCTGGATAAATTTGCTATATAAAATATCAATGAGCTTGAAAAATCAAACTTAGTAAATAGCCAATATTTATTAAAGTATAGATGATTAGGAATTGGGGCATGCAATATGAATAATAAAAATAGATAATTTATTATATGCATAATAAGATTTACAAAAAAGATTATCACATGCTTATGCTCATGAATGTAAGTAACTTAAACTCTTGCACTTTAAAGTAAATATATTCCACTATATTAGGTGTGTTTATACATATATGACTTATCAATATTTTAACACTACTTGATAATATACAAGTTTAGTATATGTGTGTGTATAATTATATTTATATGTATAGTTGGTTTCCTACGACACTCAGAAATAAAGAAAGATAAACATCAACCCCATGAAAATCCAATGATTTAACTGAGGATTCACGGTCGGACTAGCCATAACAAATAGGTTAATACCAATATTAAAATATTATAATATTAAGCATATTTAATGCACTACAATCAAAGCATAGGAGTGCAACTACAATATGTCAATCACTAATTATGTATAATTATGAATTAACAATGCAATTTAACACATCAAAACTATAAAAGAAATAATAATCATTGGAGACACGATACACAAGCAATTAAGGAGTCCATGCAATAATAAAACAAGATTAATTACTTATAAAATTTATTATGAACAATAAATAAAATCTACTGTAAATATATTAACAGCGTTTAAAGGATACGACTGTCAAACCTACTACTAGTTACAAATCTAATATAAGTAGCAAGGATTTTGCCCCTTACAATGAAGGATGCATTTATCTCAAATGAATGATAGTTACTTATCTCGGGACAAAGTATATAAGATTTCAAAACTGCTTGAGGTCCAACTACTAGTACCTAGAGTATGGATCAACAAATCCTACACAATATTAGACATCTAATTCATATACAGCAAACATATTAAAAATTAGTTAGTTATTAAGCTAGAAATAGCCTAATTAATCTTAGTTATTTGATCATAGATTCAAGTCCATTATTAAATAAGTTTACTATTATGATTTTTATTTTTAGTAAAATAAGAAAGTGTGATGTTTGCTTCAAAATTAACGATATTCTAACCTAATGAGATTTCCAAGTAAAATAATAACTCTAGTTGATTTTAAATTTGATAACAATATTTTTGAAAGAAAGAAAGGAGAGGAGTGAGCTCACCTTAAGCCTCGACTATGGTGGTAAGGAGGATGGGGCAGTGAAGTTGTTAGGAGGAGATATATAAGAGTTTTAGTGGTTTTTTATGCCACGATCCCATCGTGCCTTTTTGACTAGCTATAATCGTGACTGTATTGTGGGAGTTTGGTTACAAAGGCGATGGTTTTGAGCAAAACTGAGATTGGTGGTTGTAGGGAAGAAAGTTGCGTTGCCCTAAGCTTCCATCGTCTCTAAATATTAAAAAGTGGTAGTGGGCAAGTCGGTAAAGCAACGTAGAAGGAAAAGGAACCTGATTTAGAAAACGACGAGCAAAATAGGAAATAGAATCGTGAAATCAATGAAATTGGAAACATGCGAAGAAGGAAAGAAAAGCATCGATTGATTTATACGATCTAATGATGCAACACAACAAAGGAAAAATCGCAGCAACGGAGCGCTGATCGCATAGGAGGATAAAACGAAAAGGTTTGGATCTTACACCTACTTTAGCACTCAAAACTCCTCTAAGTTATTTGAGATTCAGATCATGCTACATGATCTATGATAAGGGGAATACTCAATATTTCAACACTATCACAAACTGTTGGCTGCAACTGGACTTATATGAGATTTATTCTTGCAAATGCTCTAATGAATTTGTCTTGTTGAAGAAAATTATTGAACAAAGATGGACCATCAAGTTTCTTCTTGACCTCAACAAAGATCTAAATGACATAAACTGAAGAATCATGGGAA